TGAATACTTAATAAAACTCTATGAGTTTGTTTATTACTGTTTTGAAAATCCGTTTTTTTTTTTGTTTTTTTTTTTTTTGCATAATATTTTTCGGAATATGAATGTTACGGATGTCGACCATATTAAATCAATTTAACATTTGTATCGTCTCCACGGATAAGTAACTATTAAGTCTGGGCGTATCCGCAGTAACATTATTTTCCTATTAACGATGTTCAGGAGCAGAACCTGCAGTTTGACGTCAATAAACGGTAATAAGAAAATACAATTACTTAGATTCTTTCTAAACATCTTCGGTGTTGGCACAGAGATATTTAACACTGAATGACGTCGATAGAAATTTCGTAGTTTTGTCTGTGTTGGTGTTCTGTTATTCTTGCAAAATAAAAAAAATAAACATAACGATGTTTTCATCTATTTGTACAATATAAATACAGCGTGAAGCCTAGAGTTAATGACCCTTTTTAAATTGCGTAAAGTACATATGCTATGACTAAATTTTTGAAGGTAAAAGAGTTCATTTACAGACGAAAGGTTTTGAATGTTGTTTTTTTTTACATGGAACATTATTCATTTATACACCTTATCTAACTACGATGAATATTTTGATGCTTTGTAAACATTTAACAGAACACGTAGATCCAATCTTTTAATTCAATGTAAAAAATTTCGCGCATGAGTAATTTTAATCGACTTTTCCTGCATTTGCGTATTTTAAAATGCACATGTCGAAATTGGTACCATGCAGCGTACTTAACGGTTTGTGCATAATTGATATATGAGATACACTTTAATTATTAAATTTACAGATTATGATCTATCTAAATGTACTTAAAAGAAATTTTGTTGGAACTGCATTTAAAAGCTAACTAAATATACCTAAATTATTTTTTATAGTGACATGTGTTTTCGACAATTATTAAAAAACCCGACCCTTTGGGCCTACAAGTCACTTTAAACATTAATGTCAATAGTATGACGAACAAAATAAATCAACTTCGAAGATTTTCATATGAATAAGTTTTTTTTCTTCCTGAAAGCTAACAACAGCAGTTTTTCTCGGATGTTGACTTGGTAAATATTTTGACTGTTGGGTATGTTTAGATTCTTTCTTATTTTAATAATAATAATGAGCAAAAAGCAATCCAACATTGTCATATCAACACATTATGAACATTTGACGTATTGTAACATATCTAATAAAGCCAATGAAGAACTACACTCCAGTCTTGTTCACTGAACTATTGTTATTATTATGTATAATTGAATTCACATGTTTGTTCTTTAGTATCTTTGAGCATACTATATAGATACACTCCTGCGGCGATAGCCTGATAAGGTATCTATAATTCACACCATGATATTATAGTTCATGCAAAATGATAAATTTTAATAATCTAGGAAAGGGGAGTCTTCCAGCCATTTGAACTTATTTTATGGTAAGTCACGATGAATGCAGCAGGATATTCAATAAAAATATGATGGCATTATTGTGTAAATGATAAAGAAAACTTATGTCATGTATGTCTTATCCTTTCGTTGTTGTTTTGCACAATATAATATGTTAAAACTTAACTGTTTCATTATTGTCCGTACATTTCCACGGATCGGGGATTGAGTAGTGCTTTTGCAAGATATGTCCTTATACATGTATGCTCTAAATGCCCCTTGTGGGCCCTTAATTGGTAATAAAACATGTTCTTGTACTTTTTCTTGTTTTCTAAATAGCAGTCATAATTGAATATTTAACTCATGTTTGTTTTCAAGAACAGAAGTCAAGGTCTTGTATGCCATCGATGACATTCATTGTTGGAAAAAACCTTGAAGACAGGTTTGACAACGTTCTTGATGAAAGTTTTGCTTTGTTGACATAAATAATGAATTGCAGGCAACATATACTCTTCATAGAAGAAAAATATAACGTTTATATGACTACATCTTCCTACCATTGACTTTTAAAGACGACAACAACTACTGCATGAGTCGATGCCATTGCTGGTGAAGGTTTCCTCCCTGAGGGTATCATCATGCAGCAGAGTAGTCAGCTATACTGTGTTGACATGAATTATCATTGATATGGTCATACTTAGTTATAAATTAACTGTTTACAAAAATGGTTTACAAAACATAAAGTTTTTCGAAATAATAACGATTTGCTACCCCAGGATAAGGCTACCTTAACTGCATTTGGCAAAACCTTTCAGATATTTTGGTCCTAAATGTTCTTCACTTTTGTTCTTTGTTTGGTGTCTCTAATTTTTTTTATTCGAGCTTCAATGATGAGTCTTTTGTAGACGAAACGAGCGTCTGGCGTACAAAATTTTAATAGATAGATATAAGAAGATGTGGTATGAGTGCCAATGATACAACTCTCCATCCAAGTCACAATTTGTAAAAGTAAACCATTATAGGTCAAATTACGGTCTTCGACACGGAGTATTGGCTCACACCGAACAGCAAGCTATAAAGGGCCCCAAAAATGACTAGTGTAAAACCATTCAAACGAGTAAACCAACGGTCTAATCTATATAAAAAATGAGAAACGAGAAGTACTTATGAACCACATCAACAAACGACAACTACTGAACATCAGATTCCTGACTTAGGATAGGTGCAAACAAATGCAGCGGGTTTAAACGTTTTAATAGGTACCAACCTTCACCCTTATCTGAAACAATAGTGTAACATCACAACATAGAAAGACACACTACAAAATATCAATTGAAATGGCTTAACTCAATCAAAAGACATATTAACACAAGTGAACATACACTGAACGAATAAAAGCCTGTTATCTTTGATGAGTTTATCAATGTTTATCTTATTGAAAAAAATGCCACATTTTACTTAATTAGGATGAGGTAAATAAATAAATCGATTTAAAAGTTATTCAAACATTCAACAAATTCTCGGAAGTCAAACTTTAATTTCATTATCTTACACTACACTATTTGACGTGATATCATTTAAAACTATCCATTGTATTGGGAATATTCCATACTTTCGGATTTCAAATCTTTGGTTTCAGAGCACCACTCACGAGACTTGTATCAAAATAACTTCACTTCGGTATTGAGTTATTTATTGTTTAGGATATTATTTTCAAAAGCGTACACCAAAATGTTGTGACTGGTCAGCAACATCCTTAGCTCTTCGACCAATGGCGTAATTTATTTTCATTTTGGAGTACAAACAATGAAATTATACATGTTATAAGTAACCATAATCCTTTGGGTTATGAATGGGGGAATTTAGTTGTCTATGTTACTCCTGGTATTCTACAAGACTTAGTCCTTGAAGGTATCACAAGTTTGGTATGGTTACTCATCACCAGCTTGATAGCATCACAGGTCAGTGTTTTCCGGCCAGCGCTACTTGTGTGGTTTTACTTCGATACTGATACTAAATTGTACTAGCAAAAGATGCAGATGACTAAAACACGTAAAATGATGTAAAATTCGATTATAGAATCTAATATTCTTATTTCCTTCTTTTATCAATTTGGGATTTTGCTCTTCACGTTTTAGATTTCGCTCTTCCACCTTTATAACATTTCTATATCGTTTAGAGCATAACAAAAGACAACATTTTTTTAGGAATGAACAGATGGTTGCCCCTGATCCAGATAAGCTTCAATTATCTCCAATATCTTGTAATTTTATATACATATATAATCACTAAACTTTGATTTTAATATCTTATTAATAACTCATGATGAATTAATTTTTGAGACAGGAAATAAATTTGTAGGTGTAGGCAATTAATACACCTACGTCAGACCTTGATTGTTATTGACTGGCGGAATGTATAATGATGATAATAACTATACACTGTAGACATTTCAATGCCAGAAATATATGTCATAATTCTTCACAATTCCTTTCTCATACACATACAGTTAAAGTTTAACAAATAATTCGTGGCACGTAAAGGACATGTATATGGCAGTTTATAGACCGAGCGGTCATCTCCCTAAACTATACGGACCTATACGAATCTGACGAAAGACCATAATTATGTTACATAAACAGACCTGTGGCTCGAAATGACTTTATTTTTATTTTATACTACTACTACTAAACAATTAAAGAATTCATACATATATATAATTCCATTAGTCTCATGTAAATTTTCATTCGGGTTTGCATGTTTTGTTTAAACATGTTAAACGGAACAAAAGCTTTCGAAACACAATAATGCAATATCCCTTTTCTGGAATGCATGGAGGGTTTATAAAATGATGTTCAATATCGTAAATATTGTATGATTAATAAACCTTTTTAAAGAAACATTTTTAGCTCTTTTTCCAAACTTTTTTCGTTTTCATTACAATTTAAATTAATTATTCTTCGGCTGTCCCGGTCTTATTTATAATAATATTTGGACCGGTTGGTGATCAGAAGATAAACAGGAGCAATAAAAGCAAGAGTAGGTCCAACCAATAAGCCAACAGTATGAAATATGGTTCTGTGAGGGAATGACAAATAAATACTGGCTGCCATACAGAATTCATGGTATAAAGATACACTGATATCGTAAACTTTGGAAAAAAACTGTATTATTTTTGGCTAAATAAAAGTGCTACTGTCAAAATTCTGTATGTCTTTCGTCTTTGCGAAAATTAAATAACGTGAGTTTTTAGAGTTTACCAACGAAAACCTTTTGTTTGAAGAAGAGGAATTGAACCATAATTTTCATAACGTAAAATGTTGATTTTGTGTGACTCATGTTTTGTGTTTGTTTATATATTCAGTAAGCGCTTCCTTGTTCATTAAACAAAGGATGGGTGCATGGGCATAATGATAAACTTCAATGGCAAGTTTGATCAATGTTGGATGAACAACATTTATGCATGCAATCTAAAGAAATCGTTTATGTAATGCTGCATTTTGCATCATGCACCACGTGCAGTGCTTGTTGACACGTGTATCTCAGAATGCAATATACTAAAACCGTGGGTGCACGTGCCAACCACTTCAAGAACACATACTAATACTTACGTAAAGATTGGTGTAATTTTTTCCAAAGAATTTGAATGTTCTTTTTAATTTAATTTTATCGGAACCACCGTCGTCAATTGTTGGTGTTAGTTGGTCTCCATACGTTGAATTGAAGGGGTAGAGTTCGGAAAGTGAAATTCCACTACACAAAATCGCACAGTTTACTATAGTGATTAATGAGAATAAGAACTTAACACTGAACCGATTAGTTCTTAACACATTTGAACACATTATATTTTAAAAACGGCATTGATCTTGAAATCTTACATCCTGACGAATTCTTTTTACCATTCATTTCGTCAGGAAAATGATTTCACAAAAATTCCACGTTTGAAATTAAATAATCCATACTTTAAAACATTGTAATTCCAAATAATAAACACAGTCGCAACTATTCATCTTCCGTTTTAATTTTCCCAATGCATAACATCCTATATCATGGCCTAACTTATAACCATATGATTGTGTAGTTAACGTGTAAATATAGGTCATCTGGTAATGTAAAAGGCTGGGTGTGGTTACATTTTATACAACTGACAGATGTTTCTAAGTACTTCATTTTCGCTTGACGCGTTAAACAAACATGGCGGAGGGTGATTAAAAGTCTGGAATTGGTGTATTTGCTTTATTTCGATGTTTAATTGCACTGTGAGTTTGCACCTATCAGACATCATGATCAATAACATATTGATGACGTCACAAACATTTTCCCACAGGCATGAACAATATTTGTTGAATCAAAGACATACGGCGTAATATCAAATACCATAACTTCATGGGTCAGCGGTTACACAGAAAAAAATGAATGGACTGTTAAAGTATTTATTGTGTATTGTTGTAAAACAATAAATAGATGTAAATACATTATTGTTTACATGGGATATTAAAATAGATCGACGAATTTACATTCATGTGTAGGTTGACCTGTTTATTTGGCAAATATTTAAACCACTGAGTTTGACAAAGTACCTCTGCAAAGTATAATCATGTATATGTTTAAATACAATATTTATGTACAATTGTACATCTTAACAAAACATTATGTAACTTATGGATAAATGTTGCCATCATAAACACACATCAAGAAATACCTTCCTGTTAGTATTGATTCGTCAAAAGTGAAACTGGAATTTTCAATTTATCTTTAGATTAAACATCAAAACTCAACCCCTTTATTACAGTACATTTTTTTTTTTTAATATCCAATTCTCGTAGTCATGGTAGTACAGCATTCTTCAGCAAGTTTATACAAACCCGTATTTATTTCAGAGTATACTACATTGTAACAAGATTCCACAATTATATAACACCACCACAAAGTTTACATTATATTGTATTTATAGATTTAAGCTACTATCTAGAAAAATGCTCTATTATATGCGCACATTTATTTCTATAAGTTGAATTAATTAATTCAAGTTTCATTTTGTTTTAAAAACCCACTTTGTACAGTCACTTGCAATACAAATAAATTAAGGAAGTAAATAACAGCCCCAGAGCAAAGGCCTGCAGACATGGAAATAGTACACGTGTCCTATACTTTCCGCGGTTATATCGATGGGTCACTGAACTTATATTCATGCCAAAGGTGGTTGAGCAGGCATATATAGTTTTCCCTTTAGGATTAATACTTCCTAGTTTATTTGAAGCATTTTGCTTTGTATTGCAAATAACTAATTATTCCTTCAATCTTTCCTTAATCTTTTTCGCTTTTATTCAGTATTTCGTATTACTTATTTACTTTTCATTTTCTTGTTGTTGTTTTGTTTTTCGTTTTCAAGTAACATCTTCTGCAAAATTCATAAACAAAAACAACTTCTTTTTTTTTCCCTCAAATAGAAACGTGTAAAAGTGGTAATTGATATGAGTGTTTTAATTTTAAATTTATATGGTGTATAAAGTCTTGAAGTTGGGAATAATTTCGAATACATTGTAAATTGTAGTTTTTTTCACACAAATTATACAAGATAAGTTGAAAAATCTAAGATTAAGAAAAATGAAAATACATTGTACATAACTATGATTATGAAGCATTTGTTTCTAACTGTGCTAAATGTATAACTACACTGTCATGAAATAGAAGTTCCTTCATAATATAAGTTCATAATTCTTATATGATTTGCATATCTACAAAATTTAATACTTGAATTGGATTGGTCGGTTAGCATTTTCCCCTTGGTTTACACTTCGATAGACCGATGTTGCCGAAACTATTTTCATAACATTCATTGTGATCTATACAGTCCGCCAAAAGTTAAGCACCACCTAAATATAACTGGCAATATTTTTTTAACTATTGCGAAAAAAATATTTATGTTTGGTGTTATGCATTACCTATAACATACACTAAGAAAATTCATTACGACAAAAAAAAAAAAAACTCCGATAAACACGCCAAGCAATTTTTTATTAAAGGTCATCTACAATTTTTCGAATACACTGTTTCGATGCCTTTAAATCATCTTCCTACTGTCCCTTGCACAGGTGAAATTTGACCTTCACCAAGTCACTGTGAAATATGGCAAGGGGTAAGTTATATGTGACTGAACCTTGACAAGCAATTGACATGTTAAATGCCGGTAGGAGCACTAGTTGCATAGGTAACCATATCAATGTTAAACACCGTCATTGTCAGATTTTTACAACGTCATGTTGACACAGGAACTGTAAATGATAGACCAAGGTCCGGAAGACCCCGTTTAACTACCGATCGTAATGACAGACTCCTTATTGGTTGTGTTTAAGCCAACCCATTTACTCCTACCCCACAACTTAGACACCACTGGCGTCAAGATGGTCATGTTAGAGTTCGAACATTGGTCCGTCGACTTCATAGAGGCTACCTAAGAGCACGTCGTGTTGTCAAGAGACCTGCCCTAACAGCCAGGCACCGGTTTCAAAGGGCTAATGACCATCGACGCTGGAACATGAGAAGCTGGCAAAATGTTCATTGGTCAAATGAGAGTCAGTTTCTGTTACGACCAATAGACGGCAGAATACGAGTTTGTCGTGGAAATAAAACTGCTAATGACCAAAACAACATTTGCCCAACGACTGCATACGTTGCTGGTGGTGTTACAGTATGGGGTTTCTTCTCATACTGTTGTAAGGTATGTATGCATATTCTGCAGGATAACATGAACGGACAGACATACAGGGATTTGGTGCTTAGAAACATTGTAGCCCCTCATTTTGATAATCCTCCACTTTCTTTAAGACCCTTGTGCATGTACGACAATGCTAGACCACACAGGGCAAGGATTGTAACCGAGTACAAAGAGTACAAAGAGCAAGAAGCCATTGACACTATCTTTTGGCCTTCCATGTCTCCAGTCATGAACCCTATCGAACATGTCTGGGATGCCATTGGCAGAAATCTCAATCGCAGAGGTCCACCTATGCAAAATCTTAGCGATTTAAGAAGCGCAATTGTTGCTGAATGGAATACATTTGCTCAACTAAAGTTCAGAAGGCTTGTACAGAGTATGAGACTCCGTGTTATGGAACTGTACCGGAAGAGAGGGTGTTACACATCCTATTGACTCAAATATTGACATTAAATTTGCCGAACATACCAAATATTATTTGTAGAGACTTTTAATGATATTGGGTGATTAATTGTTGTAAAAAAATAAAATCACAGTGAAACTTAAATTCCGTTTCTGATTTGTGTAATTTTCACTATTCCTATGAACGCAAATTTCAAATGCATAGTACCTGCATACGTGAACAAACTTAAGTCTACGGTTTGTTTATGGTATATGTTAGCAAAATTGCTACATGAATATTTTCCTTTTTTTCGAGAATTTACTGATTTTTTTAAATGAAAAAAATTTCGCTGCAATAAAAATAGGTGGTTCTTAACTTTTGGCGGACTGTATATTAATGAGCGATACAGATGCATGGGATCAAAGTGTTCAAGCAAATTGAGATTGAAAAAAAAACCAAATACATAACTGTTATTTCTATTCTAATGAATAATCAAAAGAAATTGTTGCATTAAAGCTTGGAAAATGTATAAATTTACAATAATATATAATTCCGCGAAATTTCATGAATGAGCTTGGCGCATTAACGGCATGGGACAATTTGACGTCATGCGAATGAAAACTCTCAAGATGAAGATTATTTTCCGTTTCTTTGTCTTATACGCTTCAAATTAAAAAAAAATATCTCATTAAAATGAATTTTTTGAGGTAGGTGTTATTTCATTTTAGATTCTATTGCATTAATCGAACATTTATGGATTTCAGAAAGTCAATATGGCGGCTTACTCCTTAGTTACGAAATGTCTATTGTGTATTTGATGGTAAATAGTAGCCAATGTACTAAAAGCTGTTAATAAAATATTGCAAATGTTTGGGTTAAGAATTATAAGGATTAAACACATTTTTTCTAGAGGTTATTGATGTGCAAACCGGGTCGCTGACTAACAAACTACATAAAAGTCCATCGGACTTTTATTCAGTTTGTGAGTTAATCGCCCCAGTTTACACATCAATAACCTCTAGAAAAAATGTGAACGGAACAAGTGGTATAAAATATATGTTCCAACAAGAACAGATATCATAACATTGTTTATAAAAAAGTTTCACAGGGAACTTTTGTCAGGCGAAACAAATATACGTTGACAACCTGGCCTAAAGGGTCAAGTGAGCTATTGTTTACACTTAAGCTGTTTATATGAACTATATTGTTTACTTATATTTTGGCATTGCACAAGGTCATACGTTTCTAAGACGTCTTTATACTAAATCCATTGGATGTGTACTGATTGATACTTTAGTCTGGGAGAACATGACTTATCTATTAGTTGTAATTGGCTTTGAACTAGCTTTCAGTAAATGCGAGTACTCTTATTTCGGTGCATTGTCTGTTGTTTTTATGTTAGTTGTTTTTGTGTCTCGTACCGATCTTTTGAGTTAAGCCAATGGCAACTGATTTTTACAGTTTGTTCATATGTTGTGCTGTTACAACACTGTCCCAGGTGAAAAAGGGGGAGGGGGGTTGAGCGCTTACAAACATGTTTAAACCAGTCACATTCTTTATGTGCCTGTCCATGTTTCATGTCGGGGCCTTTTATAGCCGACAATACGGTGTGGATTTTTCTCATTGTCGAAGGTTTAGGCCGTACAGTGGCCTATATATTGCTTCCTACCACTTTTCATTTGAACTCTGGTGGATTGCTGTCTCATTGGCAATCATACCAAAACTCCTTATTTTTATACTCAGAATCTCATCACTTAACAACCGTCGTTTGTTGACGTCCATCGTAGGCCGCTAACTTTTGCAAAACTCTTCTCTGAAACTACTGGACCAATTGGAACCAACTAAGCCACAATCATCATTAGAAAATCTAGTTTTAAAAATGTGCCAGATGATTCCGCATTCTAACCAACTTGGCCGATATGGAAAAATATAGAACATTGGGGTGAAAAACAAGTTTTGTCTATTATCTAGAAGCCAAACAAATAGTAGAGCCTCTAGTTTCATGGAACAATTCACTTACGTGGTACGCATAATTTCTCAGAAAAATAAACTTTTCTTATAGGAAAAAAAAAACAGACCGTTAACAGTAGTACCCTTAATTGAATCAAAAGGAGGAAAGCATCAGGCAGAA